ATTAAAATATGTATCGTAGTGTCCGGCGAAAGTGTCCTATTTGAAAGGTCTAACTCAATTAACTAATACAAAAAGTATATGAAACAAATATGTATATAAATTTAAAAATCACCGCAATATAAAATTTTTAGAGTTTTGATAGTTTTTAATTTCTTGAAGTTTCCCCTTTTTAATAACTTGAGTGGACTTCCAAAATTTTCTTAACATTCAAAACTTTGTGAATTTGACATATTTTAGTAAGTGCCAATAATTCAATATAATGATGAATACTAGGTTTCTAGAAATTTTTTATTTTTCAAAAATTTTTGAGAATTTGTAGGAATTCTAACAAATTTTTTCTAAGTAAAGGTGTCGAATATACAAAACTGATCAAACGAAATTAAAAGTTTTCGGATGTTGAAAACATTTTCAGATTTCGTCGTTTTCGAAAATTTAGAAAAGTTTAGTAATTCTTGAAGATTCAAAAAATTTTTGGACGTTGATGTTTTCAAAATTTAAAAAAAAAAATAAAATTCTCAAACTTTGTTATATCAACACAAAATTTTGGAAAAGTTCAGAAAAGTGGAACAATTTTGGAATTTTTCAAAAATGTTAAAATCTTTTAGAATTCTAAGAATTTTGTATTTTTTACACACAAGTACCATGAACATAAGAATTTTTGGAATTTTCGTTGTTTTCTGAACCTGTGAAAATATTTAAACTTGCTGTGAGTTTCAACTGCGTAAAATAATACAAATTCGAAAATATAACAAAAAAAGTAAAAATTGAAAATTAAGTCCCCGATTTCCCCTACCTGGGTCCGCCACTGGGTCAAATTACAGACCTTAGCCTGAAGATGTATGATGAAGTTTCATTTTTTTAATTAAGAACTTTTTTCATTGGTTTTGTACTTTAAACGACGATATTCAATTGAAAACAAAACAAGTAATTTTTTGCAAAAAAAAACCTAATTAAAAAAAAAAATATATATATATACATATATTTCATGATCCAATGGTCGGATCTAAACAAGATTAGTATGGGAACCCCTCTGAGACACTACCTTTCCGATGCAAAAAGGATTGTCGAACTCGGTTGACGTGGCCCAAGGTTATGCGGTAACATACATACAACAACAAAAAATAAAATGAAATAAATATTCTGACGAACTGATAACCTTTTTTGGAAGTCGGTTAAAAAACAGTTGACAAATATCTTTTACCAGATGCTTAGCTAGGGTTCTCTACAAAAACATATGTATGTGCGTTATGTAAAAGTAGGTTCTTACTTACCAAATTCACTCGTACCTGCATTCTTTTTTATTAATTGAAATGACAAGGTGTTAGAATTATATGAAATTCTCCAATGATAACCGATAATCAAATGTTCAATACTATGTGTTGGCTTGGCGTTGGGTAGTATAGATACATACATATGTATGAATATGACTACATAAATATGTAAATACATATAAACGTATGTACTTTCATATGCATGCGCAAACATTTATATACACGTGTACATACTATTAACATATATAGCTATGCACGTTACCGAACCCACGCGACACGACCAACGAGATGGCTTCCCATTTCTTCAGGGCGAACACACGAATTTCACTTTTTCACAGAATTTCTTAGCAGCAATGAGAAATAAAATCGCACTATTTGTATTTTTTATTACTACTTGCACTTTTAGTGCTAAATATTGCACATTTGAATACAAATTAAATAAATTATTTTAACACTTTTGCACAATATTTTCCTGCTTATCGGATTGAAACTCGCGCACCATACGAACTTAAATATATCCGCGGCAAAAATCTACTGAATATTGAAAATTAACCTACACTCTCAATCCATCACAGCTAATTTGCAATTTCCAAAAATGTATTCATTTTTCCAGGTCCTCACTTTGAAAAGAGTTTGAATGAAGATAACACACTGGAAAACTCTCAA